GAAAACTACTACTAGATGAAATAAAGGCATGTGTCAAACAAAGATACCTTGTGCAAGGATATAAAAAAAAATTATCCAAAATGATAATTGCAGGTATTAAGAAGCAAGTAAGGTTGAAAGAAATTCCTGTATACTAAATTTTCACTTCTTTCTACTATATCAAATAAAAACAATTGGTAATGAACAATCATGTTACATGAAGCCACAGAAGTGATGTTGAGCCACAAAGGTGAGATTGAGCCACAGAAGTGATGTTGAGCCACAAAAATGATGTAAAGCCACAAAAGTGATGTTGAGCTGCAAAGTGATGTTGAGCTGTCAGGCACTCAGGATGAGTGCCGCCAAAAACTGAGCCAGTGAATTTTTGGGGGTTGCAGTGCCCTAACTGCAACCTTGGCACGAGTAAGGCCCATGTTGCAGCATGTTAGACGGTGCATTAGGTAAACACAGAATGAGAATTTAGCCCCTAACGCTACCGACCGTTAAGACCCTCTTGACGGTTGCCACCGTCAACACATGCTAAACGGTCATCTGTAGGTAGACGGGCCCTAATTATTAACTGTTACATCAGACCTAAAGCTTGACTAAATCCCATACCCCCCCCCCTCGAAGACCTCCATAACACCCGCTCAGCTAGTACCACTACAATCCAAGTCTTGGGGAATTTATGAGTACCGTGTGTGGTAAGTGTGCTGGGGAGTGTGAAACCACAAAGTAAAGGAAGCGCTTGCAGGAGATATGCCTCTCGGTGCGGGGAGGACATCGCCCCAGCCCTCTTGTTGATCCCACTGTGACCTCTCGCCTGTATCAAAAACGCAACATACATTCGATGCGGTGGGGAAGGGTTCGGGTTTTTTTCTGTGATCTGGATTCTGCCATGATGGGATACAGTGGAACCACTGGTACGAGTGCGGCCGATAAATATATTCGTCACGTGCCTTATCTAAGGACACATCACAGCCAAAAGGTGCACCGAAATTTTCTTATCAGACTCACGTGACGAATAAATCTATCGGCCACACTCGTAGTGTCGAGGTATTATGAATTATCTATAAGAACAAGCGATAGAAATCACTGGGAGGTGCTGAAGGAAATATTCGGCAGAGGTAAACTGCTTGCGAATTTGGATAGGCCTGTTCAAGACTACTGTCAACCAACGATAGCAACTTAAGGCTAAGGGCCGGTGTACATTACTATCGGCAAAAGACAAAACAGATGTTGGCTTAACAAATGACAGGAAAGAGAGACAAGAGACGTGAGGACATACATAAATTCTAAGCAGAGCGCCGAGGAGGAAAAAGTGGAAAAAAGGAATCAAAACGAGCTATAAAAATCTTAAACCGCCAGCTGAAACTGGTGAAGAACCCCGTTACCAAAAAAGACTATTTATGATACATTTATTTAAATGGACAGAGGTATCGTCCACACCAAAGCCTTGCTCGGAAATTATTCACGGAATGAGGATAGGTGTGGTAAGAAAGATGGAAGGATGAAAACGAGTATTTCTAAAAGACAAACGAAAGAGGCAATGATAATATAGCGGTCGACAGCAGCCGAGAGGGTTGGTCGGGTATTGGGATTGGTGTCGGTTTTGCTTGGAGGGTGCGGGAACTTCTGGGGCCACATGGAAGGGGATTGAGGCGGGTGGACCGTTCGGCTGAGGGGATGACATTATCGGTAGACTTGGAAGTAGAGTCATTGATGTCAGGTATCCCATCATGCTCACAGGGGTCTGTTGATGGGAGGTCTGTGATGTCAGCATTAGGATCGTCAGCCCTGAATTGGATCTCCGCCAAGGACTCACTCTCATGCCCGACAGAGAGTTGGGGTGGTGCTTGGCCACCAGGATCAGTTGTCTCGGAACTGATATGGTACGGTTCCTGCAGGATTCTCACAATTTCCTCACAGCCTTTGGAGAGTGGCATAGGGGTGTTTGGTTTTGGTTGTCTGGGGTGGTGGTGTGGACATTTTTCCTTTCCAAAAGCAACTGTACTATCCTGCCATGCCCAGACCTAGCGGCCCACGAGAGTGGTGTAAGGCCATATTTGGTGTCAGTGGTATCGGGATTGACATGATCTCTGTGCAAAAGGCCTCACACTATCCCCTCATGCCCCCTCCAAGTGGAAAATGAGAGTGGCTTCTGGCGATATTGGATGTCCGCCTGGTCGGGGTTGACCTCTCCTCGTGCGAAAAGAATTTTTACTACCTTATCATGCCTGTTCCCAGCGGCCCACGAGAGTGCTGTGAGGTAGTATTCGGTGTCTGCTTGGTTGGGATTAACATCAGCTCGTTCCAAAAGCTTTTTCCCTACCCCCTCTTGCCCTCTGACTACTGCCCATGTGAGAGCCGTACTCCCGATACTATCAGTTGCATTAACATCCTAGATCTCCATCTCCATTACAGAACCTCGATTCTGATCAATGCAGAACCGTGAAGTCCTATAAATCTCCTAGCTCCTCTCTCCTCGTCATGGTAAGGACCCCAGCCGCCATCATGGGAATAGCGTAATAAAATCAGTTGAGCAAATGTCTGCTGATAAAATCCATCGAGAGGCATGAGTGCAAGTGTTTTCTCATTTTCCGTCATCCCCCTTCTTGTACGGTCTCCTCACTAATAAGAATCAGATTCCAGAAAGGGTGTTGCTGAGGGGACCTGGAGACGAGTTGGAGAAAGATTCCAGACACTTCTATAGTTGGTGTTTGTCGGGTGAGCCTCCGCAATTGTTGGATATGGACTGCGGAATAGGGCCGAACCAGCAGAGAGATGCCCCCGCAGGGTATAGTGTACCAGTCGGACCGTGGATGAAGATGCCTCGACTGCAACAAGGTCCTGAGCAGATAATAAGAGTGTCCGTAATGTAGGTACGTTTTCTAGATCGAGCTCTGCGTATTCCCATCGGTGACTGCTAGCTTCGGTGAATTCTGGGGGGAGGCAAAGAGTTTGGTTTGCAGTGCAGGTGAGGAGTGCCAGCATGAATGTTCGTTGCAGCGGTGAACTCTTGCGACTAGGAATCCCCAGACACGAGGAGTTCGGAATAGGCCATGGTCCGCTAGATTGGTGCCAGGCTCGAAGGCTTCCGCGAGAAATCCTCCAATATCACAGAAAAATACCAAGAATACCTCCACCTGCCGATGTTTTGGGGGGGCCCACACCCAATATTCGGCTTCCGGAGGTACCCTTGGTAAAAACGAGCGAGCAGCTTTACTCGAGTACTCGAGTAGAGGCTTAACCGTACCAAGGTTAGCATGCAAGTTCTGAGTCCCCGCCAGAGATAGAGGATTAGTAATCAATCCCTAGTTAAAGTAGAGCGGTATTCTCCGCACTTTTCTCCGAAGAAGCAAACCTTCACCACCCCACCACACCAGAAGACACACTACGAACAAGGTTTCTTTTTTTTTATTAAATCCGACACACCGACAATCGTCCTGCCGGATCCTGTCTACCACATTATCACCTGCATCAGTAGAGTCCCACCCCGAGGTCCTCGTACAAGAGCCACAGACTGGAAAAAAGCTTGGTTTGCTTACCGAGGCTCTGCCTAAACCGAAGCCTGAACTACGTAGGTCCATCTAATATCATACTTATACACGCATTTTTGTTGAATACCAACTTACTAAATTTATAAGGAACGAACAGCAGCGATGTTTAGGCTCCCAGTTCTTGCCAAGCTCATACCAAAGCCGCTTAATGCCTACCAGAGGTATTTCCGACAGGGTCACCCGGCGGCAGGTAAAAAGATTCCCGCAGCTAAAAAAATTCCAGCTGCTGGACCGGTGAGCTTGAACTCTTAATGGCCTGCAAACAATTCTAACTGTGATAATGCTTTGCAGAGTCAGCCGCCAGTGGATCCCGGGCGCAGGACCTCATACTCGAATCTTTCACACACACAGACAGAGAAACGATTAGGTTTCCTTCTAACAACGTTCGACTGGGATGCTATTCCAGTTAGTCAGATGTTAGTCACTGCTGACCAGGAAGCCAAAATCCAAGGCCTCACGGAAGAAGAAGTCCAAGAAGTAAAAGAGAAAGTGTACGAACGGATTGCAGATTGTTTAGAAGGAGAGGGCTATCCAAGCACTATGAATGAGCACTATAAAGAAGCCAACGTTAACGACCTCGTGTTCACAATGCTTATCCCGGTAATTGCTATGTATAAAAGAAAAACTGGACGAAATCTACTCTTGATCAGGGAAAAAGCAATCATAGCCAAGGACGGGAAAACAAGCGGGTATCAAGAGTTTGTGATGATTGATAGGATTGGCGTTGGCAATGAGAAATATGTGTTCGTCGTCGAGGCAAAAAAGTCAAACCTAGGCGAAGCAAAAAAACAATGTCTTCTCGCGATGAAGGACATGGGGGAAATGAATTGGGGGAAGGTGGTATATGGCTTCGTAACGACTGGTGAGGAGTGGCAGATGCTACGATTCGATGGTACTGTGTTTACACAAACTCATAGTTTTCCTGCATTCTTCCGCGGGATGGCGAAGGACAAGGAAAACTGGATGCAGGGATGGTCAATTGTCGTGGACTGCATCCACGCCACCTTGGGAAGTGGAGGATTCGTTGTTAAATAATTGAATCCTTCGCCTCTCAAGGTGGCTGGACTGTACAAGGGTAACATTTCCCTTGTTTATAAATTGTGGAAACATTCTCTGTTTGCAAGACCGCGTCGCCAATTTTCTCACTAGTATCGCTTAATCTAATTGTATAGTAAAGATAGGGTAACCGGCCCGTCGGGTTGCTCACGGGGGTGGATGAAATTGGTGCTCATTGTGGACTTTTGTATTTGGGAGATGGGTATGAGGCTGGTAGGGGATGTTACCGGGAGGATTGAAGGGTGGGTGGGAGACGAGGTTACCAGGGGGTGACTACGAGGGGAGGAGTGGGAGGTGATGTGGAAAGTGGTTTTGCCGGTTGTTGGGGGGGGGGGCATGACCGAAGGAAGGGTGAAGTTGTGTGGGTGAGGTAGTGTTGGAGGTGAGTAGGAAAGGAGGAGTGATGGTACTGTAAAACCTTCGACGTTATCCCTGTTTTGTACTAATTGCTAGAAATTTCGATACCTTTGCAAAGACTTCTGCAATGGGGGGTGGAGTGTTGAATAAATACAAGACTACTTTTTCACAACTAGCAATTATTAACCGCCACACCAGACCTAAAGTTTGGCTAAATCCCATCTACACAGGATCGGCCCCAATGTCCCAGGTGGTGCCACCGATACGGGTCCGAGGTGGGACCCCCATCTGGTGCCATCCCGTGTCCCGACCCAGGCCACTAGCGCTAATGCAGGTTTGGCCCGCCGTGACCCCGGAGAAACTTGCTAAGAAAATCCCAATAAATATATGTAAATGTAGGATGGTATTGAATCGGATATTTAGGGAAATTGTACTTAGTTCGGTATTGTTGCATCTCATACTCCTGGCGAGTTGAGCCTGTGTAACCAGGCACATTGTGCAAATGTTATCCCTTGGTCTACTGAGACAATGGTAAAATTTCTCTCATGCATTAATGCTATCCAGGTGCTCACTTCACTCATTGAAGGATTTCGAAAAGGACCGCAAAAGATGCTGCGCTGCATTGGCAACTGACTGGGGAGATCAGGGCCAGACACGATCATCAGGATCAGATGCACAGATGCTACAGACACTTGCTCGACTCCACCGTTCTACAATGGACAACGCTTCCCGGTTCCGTGGGACACACTACTAACTGTGGACAGCAGCGCGCGAACCCGAGCGGAGACAATAATGTCTTCTTGTGTTTTGCTGTTGTTTGTCTGTTTTCAGTTAAGAAGTACGACGGGTATCCATGACAGGGAGCGTGGTGGGTATGGTGCCTGTGACGAGCATGGGGATAATAATCGAGGCAACAATATGGGCTGAGTGGACATTGGGGGTGTTGTCTTCCTCGGTTGTCTGGGGGGCAATTTTTATTGTCTCGGTGAACCGGTATGAAAAGGAGGTTCCTTTTTTTTCAGTCCTGATATATACCCCCTTTTTGGTACTAGCTGTCCGTTACTGCTAGTTCCGGTATCGTCCCCACGTTTGATCTTAATCATGACGTTTATTTGGTTGATGACCCTCACATATTCCTACATCCGAAATGCCTTCCCTCAAGCCAAAACATGCCCAAGGCCGTTCCCAAAGCTATCAGAACAACGAACTATCGTGATAGCATGCCGAGCAGAGCCTCGCGTTATCTAACAGCAGTTGCAGGGTTAGATATCGGCTGAGCATCGCTCGCAGGACCTAGTACAAGGACAGGAGTATACTCAAGTTGCCGGAATGAAGTCGCGTTTCCTTTCGCGGTATAATGCATCTTGGCGTAGCAATGGGGCTAGTTTCATAGGCAGCATTCAATGCACCGGATGCGAGTATCATAAAGTACTGAAGATGGGTCAGACATTTGCAAAAGAGTCGCTATCTCATACAGTATGCTCTTTCATGTCTTGCAGGCTCATGGCTAATAAAATAATAAACATATGAAAATGAATTATAAGAAGAGAAGGAGTACGATCACTGTTTTCAAAGGGAAATCGATGACAAGACTACTCTTGTCCGCCATTTCAAATTTTGCTTACAAAACAGCACCCATTACCATCCCAAGATACATTATACTTTAAATGGAAACGCGACTTCAATCCGGCGACTTGAGTACATCTATCCTCTCTCCCGCGGACACGCCGCAACATCTCTTCTTCCGCCCTCCCCCACCTCCTCTCACAGACAAGTAAGCCTATAGCTAACCCGCATCCAGCTTAGAATCCCCAAAACCCACTGCCAAAAGCTCCACCATGTGCCTGACGCAGAACTCAGCGAGCTCCTCCCCGTCGCAAAGAACCTCTCCGTACCAGTTCTTGTACTGGAGTACAACATTTTGCAAAACAATGTGGGGTTTATCAGCTTGTTGATCATGTTTATGTTCATAATTATGGTAGGTCTCCTTATTAGGCCATGAGTGGTGGAAGGGTTTGGAGGGCTAATCATTTGGTGGTGTGGGGTATATTCCATAACCGAATTCCAAGGAGGGGTTGGGGATTGAGTGCCCGGTGCAGTCTACTGATATGGATGTTGATGGTGCTGTTTGAGGGATTGAAGGCGGAGATTTAGAGGGGGCGAGGGAATAGGGTCAAATCATTGCTTTTCTGAATGAGTGGGATGCGATCGTGCCATTCAATTAGTTTCTGTGACAATAACAGAAAGTACCTAGCTTGATATAAAAGAAAACGGTGAAGACAGCTCTAAGCCCTCCATTTCTTTCTCCCCCGCGGCCCCCTCCTCCTTTTAGGCATAACCAAGCTCAGATATCCGAACAGGAGCCTTCCAAAAGAATAGCTCTTCCGATAGCTCCGGACGTACTTCAAATAACTTCCAAAAGTCGCTTTCGATCCGTGCATGCCCCCGAAGACAGAGCTCTCGCTGACCCCCGAAGCTGATGAGGAGGAGGAAGCCATGGGGATAGCTTCCGACCGTCGAAGAGAGCCTTTGGGCTCCTCTAACTCAAACATTTAGCCTTACTCGAAGAATGGGTGATATTCGAATGAGTATACCAAAATCTCACTTCGTCTATAAGACTGTCCAAGCTAGAGATACCACTTGTTTCCCTACCCAGCCCCTGCCTCCTAAAACCTCCCAACTCCTCCCCTCCCGGCTGCACTGGATCCGGCACGAGTGCCTGAGACCCGCTCTCAGAGCGCTCACTAACCAGTGACGCAGCTGTCGACGTCCCTTCCCCCTCATACTCTTCCTCCTCACCCTCCTCCTCGCCCTCCCTCATCCCAACTATCCCAGCGGCAACTACCGTCCTACCCGAACCGCCATTGCCACTCCAATGCGCCTCCTGCCCCTCTCCCTCGCCTGTTCCCTCCCACCGTACGACTGCAAGAACTGAGCGGCAATCGGGTTTCGATTTCTTTTATTTATATCTTCTGTTTGCGTGCCCCGATACGACCTAGAGCGATCTACCCACATAATATATCAGGCAAGTGGATAAATAGAGAATCAAAGAATAAGGAAAAAAGTACCGGTACGGGACCAGTATGCTTGTACAAGAAAACTTTAAAAAAGAGCATAAACACCGCCTTAACACACCCCACACCCCGCCTTATCTCCCAAATCATCACGCGAGTGTGCCTATGAGTAATAACGCTACCATACTCTCCTTTTATAGCAAAGCTTGACCCCCCCGTCCTATGCGGACGAACCAGCGAACCAAAATACTGAAGCGATAATGACCTACATACCACTCCCTGTGCAAAGTGCCCCACGGTCGACAAATTCCACCCTTGAGGGCTACTGCAGGCTTCTTTCCGTCACGGCAGGACACGGTGGATATATATATATATAAGCTCCTGTTCTCTTGCGCGGGGCTATGATTCAGTGGTTTAGCTGCACTTTTGCCACCGGGTAGACATGTGAGTCACGAGTGTGGGCAGGGTGCCTGCGCAAAGTACTTGAGTGCCCGTAAGTGTCGTGTGCAGAAGACCGGATTAACGGTTGTTGGTTGGACTCGGTAGTGCAGGCGCGGGTGATCGGCTCTGAGGATTTGTTGGGATGAAGAAGTGAACTGTTAGTTTTGAGACGAGTGACAAGCTATGATGAGGTTAATGCGGTAACGGTTATTCAAGCTATGATAATATTACATTAATTATTAACACCACCGACCGAGTCCCATGACGTTCCCGCCCCACCCAAAACTTGTCAATTTCTTATCATACCTGCCGCCTGTTGCCTTAGCTTCTTCCCTTCCCGAATTTCTCTCCTAGCTGCCGCATTCCCCTTTCCCCCCCGCCGTTCTCTCCTTCTGCTAGCGGCGCTTAGAATCTGCTCCTTTACCAGAAATTTGACTTTATTACCACTCCCTTTCTCATGTCTGGTCCGAAATTGGTAATCGCTCCCATGGGTAAGTAGGAAAAGATACGATCCCCAGGAATTCCAACGAGGACGGAGCAAACCTGGGAAGAATAGAAAGAAAAAAGAGAAGAGAAAAGAGCCGGGACTCTTCCCCCCTTATCTTCATCAATATCTAATCGAATTCTAATCCAGCCTAACCCAGCTAGGCAGTCCCAAAACCTCTGTCTCCAATACCTCTGCCCTCCCTAAGGACGCTACTGCTTGCATGAGCGGTGTGTGGGAAATCCCTGCTTGCTGGAATCGCAATGGGATCATCCGCGCGATCGGTGAGGTATTTGAGGAGGCGGATATTCATCCGCTCGAGCTGTTCGATGGTATCCCCGCCCATCTCGGCGAGAAGGCGGTAGCTCAGGTTGGTCAAGAGCATCGGGTCGCAAATTTTTATTATTCGCAGAGGGGGCAGAGCAATGAAAGGAGACGAGGAGCAGGGTGGGAGAAG